TGGGAAAAAAGTTATAAAGATTCCAAACCTTATAAATTCATGTGAATTAGCGAGTATTGCAGCCTTTCATATTTCAGATTCTGTGGCATTCTGTTTCCCAAAGGCAATGTTCTCATTTATCGCTTCTGCAAAGAGAGTTGGCTCCTGACCGACTAACGCAATGTGTGAACTCAAGGTTCTCAAATTATACTCCTTTATGTCCTTATCATCAATAAACACTGATCCCTTAATTGGATCGTAAAATCTTTCAATGAGTCCAATAGTTGCTGATTCCCTGAACCACTCTGGTCAACTAATGCAAAAGTGGTTCCTGCTCCGATTTTAAGGTTGAGGCCCTTTAGTATCAACTGGTCAGGTCTTGATGGAAAAGCAATGAACACATTTCTTAGCTCCACACGGCCCTTAATATCATTCTCCATTGCATCAATTTGCCATGAGTTCTCTGGATCAATCTCACTCTTTCTGTCAAGGATTGCAAAAACTGAACGAACAGCATTACTTCCTCTTGACAAATCTTTTGTCATGCTTCCAGCTTCTGCAATGGTATATGCAGTAAATAGAAGTGCTAGAAAGGCTTGGAAAAGTTGCTCCGGAGATATTGAACCTTGTGATAATAACTTCCATCCATACCAGTAATCTAATACTGTAGAGCTGCTGCAAGAAACTGCGAGCTAAATTGGCTGACACCTGCAAACCAGGATTGTCTAATACTCTCCTTCCTTGGGCTTTCTAGTGTGGCTCTAAAGAGCACCACTATCCTTTTCTGTGATGAAAATGCAGTATTATAGTTCGATTGTAGTTGGCTTCCTTCATTTTGTGCAATTTCAGCTTTTGCCAACATACTTGTCATCAGAGTACTCCTTGAATAAAAGTTTTCAATGAGTAAGGGCTGAGCCGCCATCATCACACTGACTAGCCGCCATGTTAACACGAGTCCTAGTGTGGAGGCAAAGACAGCTCCAAAAATTGCTTGAGTTAACAGTGACAAGCGATCTCCAACAAGTGAGCGAACCATGTTGGCTTCTGTTGATATTCGTGCACATATTGCTGCATGTGTTTTCACTTTATCAAACCAACCAATCTCAAAAATCATGTTTTTCCAGCATCTCCCGTAATCTTTTAGTTAACTTTTCTTCCATGATAGCGTAGTGCTGCAGAAGGTTGTGAAGAAGTTGAAAACTTCAAGGCCTACAAACGAGAGAATGTCCTCTTGCATGAGATGCGATGGACGATTTATCTGTCCTGAAGTAAACCGCTATAAGTGCTCCCACACAATACGCATTAATTGGTGAACAGATCCCGAGCCTATTGCTCCTAAGCACACTAACAAAGCTCTTTCCCCATTCAGGTGTGTTCATGCTCAGTAAATGCCACTGTGATGGAGCAGGATGAGATGGACCATTAAAATCTTCATCATCACTATCGTATGTGCCCTCGTATGGAATTGAGTACGGAGCTGAGTAGGAGTAGGGTGTACTCCTTGAAAATGCTGGGCTAAATGGGTGTAAAGCTGGAGTGTTTTGTGCACTTGACCTCACACTCAATGGGGTTGGAGGGATACTCATCTTGTGGTGATTTTTTCCTTCAATCTGATGGCTAGAATTGCTTTTGCAACTGAACCATTTTGAAGTACTCTCCATCATTCAGTTTCATAAGCTTGTTGTGTGAACCTGATTCAACAACTCATCCCGACTGGAGAACCACAATCAAGTTACTTATCTTGGTTATAGAGAGATGGTGTGCTACAACAATAGCTTTCCTTCCCGTAGATGCCTGGTCTATAGCTTTCTGTACAATTCTTTCAGATTCTGCGTCCTATGCACTTGTAGCTTCGTCGAGAAGCAAGATTTTTGGATCTTATATCAAAGCCCTTGCTATGGCTATTCATTGTTTTTGTCCTGATAACTGAACTCCAAATTGCCCAACCTGGAGATTACCATATCCCGTAAAAATTATTCGAGATGCTTAAAATTATAAGACAGCACGTACGGTCCTGAACCAAATGACGGGGGAAAAGAATTCATAACAAGGAAGGCATTAGGATTAGTCTTACTTGAGTTTCATATGCATCTGGTAACTTCATAATGAAATCATGTACATTTGCAGCCTCAGCTACTTTCTCTACATCCTCTGTCGATGCTTCCTCCTTCCCGAATACTCCATCCGTCCCAATTATATAGGCTTGTTTCGTTTTCCACACGGATTAAGAAAGTTTCTTTAATGTCATTGGAAAGTTAATTTTTGCCAAGATACTTCCTAGTTTACCCCTATTTAATTTTCAGTATGTAAAACTAAATTATTGTTGGAACTAATAAAGAATTTGAAGAAGAAGAAAAAATGAGAGTTGTTCCATGTTTCCAAGAAGTGGGAAATGTGTGTATTTGGATGATTTCAAGAAATTGACATATTAAGTGGGGAAAATTTAACAAGGGTATATTGGTAAAGGAACACAACAAAATATTCTATATTAAGAAACATGTCTATATATTTGGAATAAGAGAAAAAGAAAACTCAGCCTATATAATTGGGATGGAGGGAGTAATATATTTTCTTTTATAGATGGTGCAAAGAGGATTGGTTCTTGAGATGAAGCCTCTTTATTTTGTATCCTATTTCTCCTTCTATGGGGTCATAAATTCTTTGCAGCAGGGAAATGATGGTGGACTTTCCAGAGCCACTAACCCCAACAAGACCGACAGTTTTCCCGGCTGGAATTTTAAATCCAAGCCTTGCAATATGGGCGTATCTGGTCTTGATGGGTACTTAAAACAGACCCCCCTGAATTCAATTTCTTCTCTCACATGACAGAGATTTCCCCTTCTTATCATCAGAATTTATGGCTGGTTTGCGATCAATCATCTCTATAATACGAGTAGCAGCAGCCTTTGATTCCGCAAAGGCAGTGAGATTGGAAGGGCAATCAAAATTTTTCTGCAAAACACAGAAAACAGTAAGTTTTCGAGTTTGATATGAAGGATCAAGCCAGCTGATCATTAAAAGTCTATTGATGAATAAACTCACAATCTTCCCATGAGAACGTTGAATCTGGCTACAAAAATGTCTCCACCCTTTTCTCCTTTTCTGCGAACAAGAAGAGATCCAACCCAAGCTTGAAATCCCATGCTCCCCATCATTAAGGCTATTGCAAAACCTTGCTTTATTCCCAACTCCATAGGGTTTTTTTGCAGTGCGTGGCTGAACTTCTCGATGGTTTCATTCTCGGCAACATAGGAATATACAGTTAGGAATGAGGAAATTGCTTGTTCTGCAAATCCACCGGCGACTGCATAAGACTCTATCATCTTCATTGCCACATCCATCAGCATCTTTCCAAATCCAAGTCCGGGGACAATGAACATTATGGTGAATGGTATAGCAGCCAAACTGAGCCTCCATGATAACAAAAAGGCAAATACGAGGCAGAAGAGGAAGGATGACATATAGGCTAGGCAGTCAGGTATCTGCACAAAATAATAATATTTCAAGTTTTGAGTCAACTAAAATGACCAAGTATAGGAAATAGAATCATTTTCACTATTCTTAGTACATGTTTGGTATGCAATACTAAATACGGTATCATAAGCAAGATTTTGAATTATTCCTCTGTTCAGATCGTGCTATTTTAGTTTTGTGCAAGAAGATCCTTTAATTTTCTGAAATATAAATGATCAGTCATGTGATTATACTTGGATGGGTATCAATGCTGTTATTTTTCTCTTTCTTGCATTATATGATCCATTTCCCATTTAAGCACTGATTTTGAGTTTTTGATAAGAAAAAATTTGGTGCTGTTGGAGTAAATACCTTCTCTCCTATGGTGATTTGGATTAGGGCTGTCCGTGGGTCGATGGTTACCAAACGGTGCCTAAAGAATTGAATTGAATTGAAATATAGAAAGAGACTTCAACTAAATCATGTCGTTGCTTGACTTTCACGTGCCACATTGGATACACTGCAAAGCCATCACCCAAAGAGATTCCTTTCTTCAGCGCTAGTTCCTGTTTACTTCCACTACATACATCGCTCCACCGCGAGTAGATTTCCCGGCATGGCGGAGAGCGGCGACGTCGAAGGATGTGGCAAGTGTTGCTGCAGCTTCATATTCACCTCAGGCTTAACAGCTCTCTTCATGTGGCTAAGTTTACGTACCTCAAAGCCCACTTGCTCTGTACAGCAGTTTTTGGTTCCTTCACTTAACAAAACCGACAATTCCACTACCACAAGGAACAACCACACCATTTTCTTTGTCATCAAGCTTGATAATGGGATGAAAGACAAAGGCGTCCACTATGATCCCATAAATTTTACCTTTTTCTATGGTCAAAATTATAGCTTTCCTATAGCCACCTACACAGTGCCAGGGTTCTACCAGGGTCACGGTAAGCACACTGACCGGAGATCGCTGCTGGAGGCCAACGGAGTGCCGTGGGTGGCAGCTTTTGAGGCTGTTTCAAATGGTTCCACGGTGGCTTTTAGAGTGGGATTGGCTACTAGAGTGAAGTTCAAGATCTTGTTTTTTTATACAAAGAGACACAATCTGATTGTGAAGGCGGATATACCGGTGGACGACTCCGGTAAGAAAAAGAATAAGAAGGGTATTAAACTCAAGTCCAACGCACCCCTTCAGAGGAGCCATAGGCTGAGACTGGAATTTGTGGTGGTTATTTTCACTTTCTTGAAAATCTTTTTGCTGTGAATCTTATATTTTGTAGGGTTAACATGGCTAGAATCTTCTATGATTTGAGGTTCTTTCAAATAGTTGTGTGTTTGTTAGGTATAATTACATATCCATCCGTGACAAGTTATCCAACCAGCGAATTTTCAGAAATCCACAACCCCATATTTAACAATTTCCGGGTTCCATTTGATACGTGAACTTATTAAATAAAGACTGATTTCTGCTGCTTTTGTTCTTGTCGCTAGATTGGACTAATCAGTTTCAACTCACTCAACTTGGTTGTTCTTCTATTGTATCTGAAGTTGGTCTGAGGGACTACTGCGGGCCAAAATTATGGAGGATGTCATGAGATAGTTTGAGGCAGACGTAAACACGTGGTACCCTCTATTTCTTACTCTAGCTTTCATGTGTTTGTAAAAAGAAGTTCACATATTTCTCACGAATTCCTTCCAATTCAAGCCACACTCCTTCCTTTCCCATTTCGATTCGTTACCATCTTCCACAGGGAAACAGCCTTTTCGACATGTCTGATGGCTGCGAATGATGGTGATTGTATTAACCGCTGCTGCTACATTATCAGTTTAGGCTTTGCAGCTCTGGTCTTCTAGTTAATAATCTACATGCTTCCTTGCCTAAACAATGCCAAATTCCCTGCCATTTTGTCTGAATTTGTGTTAACGACTTTGGTGAGAAATCAAGAAAGACGTCACCACACTAAATTATAGGCGCACTGGAGCACTAGCTCTGACCATATGTGACTAATCTGCTGCTTATTTTATGGTGTCCTAATTTCTTTATTGTGAGTACAAATTCTATTTTGGTATTGATACTGCCACTTCACTTTCATGAATTTACTATTTTAATTTAGTAATGGAAGGGCATATACTTTTAGCTTTACAGTTGGGTTGACATGTAGTATAATGGTTCTTTGTTTTCTAGCAGTGTACTCTTTCGAAATGAATGCCCATATATGGTAATCATTTTGTGTGGAGGTTACCTTTCTGCCTATATCCAAGAAAAGGAATGAGCTATCAATGTGGATTGTAGAAGCATGGAAAAATGGAATAATAAGCGCATTCTCGTGATTATAATTGGAGAAGTTTTTGCTTAGCTTAATACTATTTATATAATGGATTTCATAAGGATATCTTCATATGAATGGAATTTTAGTATCCAAATTTGACTTCAAGTTTGAAAATCCGACAATAGATAGTTCTACAGTAGAATAGATGGCATCTTACATGCTTGAAGGCTCGCAATATATATAGTAAGCCAGCTTAAGAAAATCTCCACACCAGAACTGCTAGTGTAAAGAGTACTGATTTCCTCTATATTACAAAAATTCAGGTGACATTAAGTACAGGAAACATGTATCTGAGAAATCAACTAGTTTAGATCTAGCTGCTTCATTTTACTGGTAAGGAGAGTTGTTATCTTGTAGTTTAACAAGCAAATAATAGGCACCAATATTTCCCACTGAGAGTAGACTTCTTTGATCACAGCAATGGTATTAGATTTCTGTATTGTATATAATCGATGAGCCACAACAATGCATGTTCGACCACCCATCATCTTCTCTATTGCTTCTTGAACCATGCTTTCTGATACTATCAAGAGCACTGGTTGCTTCATCAAGCAGCAGGATTGTAGGGTCCTTCAATATTTGCAAGAGCCAAAACTATTCTTTGTTTCTGGCTTCCAGATAGCTGAACTCCTCTTTCTCCACAGTAGGTCTCTTATCCATCTTTCATTCCACTGTCATCAAGTAAATGAATTAAAAGTTTACAAGAAGTATTTGATTTGGATTCTCTTTGCATAAAATATTTCTTTTGGGAAAAAAGTTATAAAGATTCCATACCTTATAAATTCATGTGTATTAGCGAGTATTGCAGCATTTCGTATTTCAGATTCTGTGGCATTCTGTTTCCCAAAGGCAATGTTCTCATTTATGGCTTCTGCAAAGAGCGTTGGCTCCTGACCGACTAACACAATGTGTGAACTCAAGGTTCTCAAATTATACTCCTTTATGTCCTTATCATCAATAAACACTGATCCCTTAATTGGATCGTAAAATCTTTCAATGAGTCCAATAATTGCTGATTCCCTGAACCACTCTGGTCAATTAATGCAACAGTGGTTCCTGATCCGATTTTAAGGTTGAGGCCCTTTAGTATCAACTGGTCAGGTCTTGATGGAAAAGCAATGAACACATTTCTTAGCTCCACAAGGCCCTTAATATCATTCTTCATTGCATCAATTTGCCATGAGTTCTCTGGATCAATCTCACTCTTTCTGTCAAGGATTGCAAAAACTGAACGAACAGCATTACTTCCTCTTGACAAATCTTTTGTCATGCTTCCGGCTTCTGCAATGGTATATGCAATGAATAGAAGTGCCAGAAAGGCTTGGAAAAGTTGCTCCGGAGATATTAAACATTGTGACAATAACTTCCCTCCATACCAGTAACTTATGCTGTAGAAGCTGCTGCAAGAAACTGCAAGCTAAATAGGCTGACACCTGCAAACCAGGATTGTCTAATACTCTCCTTCCTTGGGCTTTCTAGTGTGGCTCTAAAGAGCACCACTATCCTTTTCTGAGATGAAAATGCATTTCTAGTTCGATGGTAGTTGGCTTCCTTCATTTTGTGCAATTTCATCTTTTGTCGACATACTCTTCATCAGTGTACTCCTTGAATAAAAGTTTCCAATGAGTAAGGGCTGAGCTGCCATCATCACACTGACTAGCCGCCATGTTAACACGAGTCCTAGAGTGGAGGCAAAGACAGCTCCAAAAATTGCTTGAGTTAACAGTGACAAGCAATCTCCAACAAGTGAGCGAACCATGTTGGCTTCTGTTGATATTCGTGCACATATTGCTGCATGTGTTTTCACTTTCATCAAACCAACCAATCTCAAAAATCATGTTTTTCCAGCAGCATCTCCCGTAATCTTTTAGTTGACTTTTCTTCCCAGATAGCAAAATTGTAGTGCTGCAGAAGGTTGTGAAGAAGTTGAAAACTCCAAGGCCTACAAATACGAGAGAATATACTCTTGCATGAGATGCGATGGACGATTTATCTGTCCTGAAGTAAACCGCTATAAGTGCTCCCACGCAATACGCGTTAATTGGTTGAACAGCTCCCGAGCCTATTGCTCCTAAGCACACTAACAAAGCTCTTTCCCCATTCAGGTGTGTTCATGCTCAGTAAACGCCACTGTGATGGAGCAGGATGAGATGGATCATTAAAATCTTCATCATCACTATCGTATGTGCCCTCGTATTGAATTGAGTACGGAGCTGAGTAGGAGTAGGGTGTTCTCCTTGAAAATGCTGGGATAAATGGGTATAAAGCTGGAGTGTTTTGTGCAGTTGACCTCACACTCAATGGGGTTGGAGGGATACTCATCTTGTGGTGGTTTTTTCCTTCAATCTGATGGTTAGAATTACTTGTAGTACCATTTTCAGCTGCAGATTGTTGCAACTGAACCATTTTGAAGTACTCTCCATCATTCAGTTGCATAAGCTTGTTGTGTGAACCTGATTCAACAACTCATTTCAACTGGAGAACCACAATCAAGTTACTCATCTACAACAATAGCTGTCCTTCCCTTAGATGCCTGGTCTCTAGCTTTCTGTACAATTCTTTCAGATTCTGCATCCTATGCACTTGTAGCTTCGTCAAGAAGCAAGATTTTTGGATCTCTTATCAAAGCCACTGCTATGGCTATTCGTTGTTTTTGTCCTCCTGATAACTGAACTCCAAATTGCCCAACCTGGAGATTACCATATCCCTTAAAAATCATTGGAGATGCTTAAAATTATAAGACAGCAAGTACGGTCTCGAACCGAATGACGGGGGAAAAGAATTCATAAAAAGAAAGGCATTAGGACTAGTCTTACTTGAGTTTCACATGCATCTGGTAACTTCCTAATGAAATCATGTGCATTTGCAGCCTTGGTTGCTTTCTCTACATCCTCTGTCGATGCTTCCTCCTTCCCGAATAATATATTTTCTTTTATAGATGTTGCAAAGAGGATCGGTTCTTGAGATAAAGCCTCTTTATTTTGTATCCATCCTAGAAAATTTCTCCTTCTATGGGATCATAAATTCTTTGCAGCAGGGAAATGATGGTGGACTTCCCAGAGCCACTAACCCCAACAAGACCGACAGTTTTCCCGGCTGGAATTTTAAGATCCAAGCCTTGCAATATGGGCGTATCTGGTCTTGATGGGTACATAAAACAGACCCCCTTGAATTCAATTTCTTCTCTCACATGACAGAGCTTTTCCCTTCTTATCTGCAAAACACAGAAAACAGTAAGTTTCCGAGTTTGATGTGAAGGATCAAGCCAGCTGATCATTAAAAATCTATTGATGTATAAACTCACAATCTTCCCATGAGAACGTTGAATCTGGCTACAAAAATGTCTCCACCCTTTTCTCCTTTTCTGCTAACCAGAAGAGATCCAACCCAAGCTTGAAATCCCATGCTCCCCATCATCAAGGCTCTTGCAAAACCTTGCTTTATTCCCAACTCCATAGGGTTTTTGCAGTACATAGGAATATACAGTTCGGAATGAGGAAATTGCATGTTCTGCAATTCCACCGGCGACTACATAAGACTCTATCATCTTCATTGCCACATCCATCATCATCTTTCCAAATCCAAGTCCGGGGACAATGAACATTATGGTGAATGGTATAGCAGCCAAAGTGAGCCTCCATGATAGCAAAAAGGCAAATACGAGGCAGAAGATGAAGGATGACATATAGGCGGGGCAGTCAGGTATCTGCACAAAAATAATAATATTTCATGTTTTGAATCAACTAAAATGACCAAGTATAGGAAATAGGATCATTTTCACTATTCTTAGTGCATGTTTGGTACGCAATACTAGTTACGGTATCATAAGCAAGATTTTGAATTATTCCACTGTACAGAGCGTGCTATTTCAATTGAATTATCCCATCAGGTCCAAGCTTTTCAAAGTCACGGCCAAACGCCAATAGTTCATTGGTATGAAATGAGACTGAACTGTTAAGGTTTCCGTACTCATTGATGACAGCACTGAGTACAAACATCATAAGAGGGATTTGCAATCCATCTCCAATGCTGCCTGAAGTCCCAAAGAACATCAAAAACTTGTCGACTCTATCTGCATAACGAAAAATCCCGTTTTTCTTCCCCATATCCTATGCCCCCTGAAGAGGGAGGGATCGACTCGACTAACTTTCAAAGAGAGAATTTCTTCAACTACTTTCAAGTACAAATATCGTAGTTTATGTTACTTTTTATATAGAAATTTATCGATTCCCCTGGCTTAGTTTGCAGGCCATTATTAGTCAGGTAGTTGTTTTATAGTTGTGAGAAGGATCCAATGTTTTCCTATATTTAGCCGGCTGTTTGTTATCATTAGTTATTTTTGCTTTATATGATGATTACAACTGTTCTTTGTGTTTGTCTCTCCATTTTAATAATTTCCTTGAAAACAAGTGTTTTATGTGTTGTGAAAGCTCTATAATGCGCTTCGATGATTCATCCCGCATATAGTGATTCTGGTGCGCACAGAGTTGCTTGGCGAACTAATTGACCGTGTTATGCTTTTACGAAATCAATTCCAAAAGTGTGAAAGTAATTTTTCTTGATTGCAAATATGTAGAGTGAAGGTGACACCCATCGAAAATATTATAAAGAAGCTCGTTTTAGGAGTAGTATGATCTGAATAGAATGTGTTAGAAAAGAGAGAGAGAGAGAGAGAGAGAGAGTACACTATCTAAAACTAACATAAGCTATTCAAATTGCATAGTATCTGGTTGTCTTTTTTTTCATCTTCTGGCAAATCTAACGTTAAACCGAATGGAGTGGAGAAAAATGGTGGGTTTTACCATTTGTACAGGGGAAATGCACATGAGATTTTACAGGTGTTGAGATGACAGCACTTGTATAGTTGTTGATTTTTTTCCCCCAATAAAAATTTGCTAATGGAATTTTGTACATTTCCCTTGTAAAACTCTCTTGTACGCATAGCATTATTAAAAAATGATTTAGATTAATCACAAAATGCTTCATTTTTTCAGGGTTATAGTTACACAACACTGGTGCAACATTTGCATTGTAAATTCACCAAGTTCATTACTTCACAAGGATAGCATCCTTTATTTAATTATGAGCATGTTCGACTAAACTTTAAAAAAAAAAAAATTCCTTTTTTCAAATAGAAAATGACAATTAGGGTTTTACTGATTCACTTTCAAATGTCAAAAAGGGATCATCTTTCCCTATGCATTGTTTCAATGTCATAAGGTGGGACTCCATAATTTTGGGCATTTTATTTCTTTGTAAAACGTGCAAGTCGCCATTTCAAGAAGTAATGGACTCATTCCAGCCAAATGTGATATTCCCATTTATTTTATTTTGTGTAATCTTAGTAGGACAGGGTTTAGTTTAATAATCCAAATCAATTTGAATTTAGTCAGTTGGTTTCTATGGATGAGTTTTAGACTTGGCCTTGCTTAAATCGTTATTTGGATTGGCTGCCATAATGTCTAATTAAAAACAACTAGACGCTCAAATCAAGACGTGCTTAACCTATAGGCATTATGCACCAAACCATTCAAGGATTGGATACAAGTATGTGTAAGTTAAAATGAGCCGTTCTTTATTTACAATTTCTCATAGTGATATTAACTTGATAATGACACGAGATTAATGTCACCGAGAACACCTATCAAAATGTAAAACAAATCACTTTTGATCCTCCTTTAGCTTTCCCTTTTGTGCTTGTAGGCTTCTCGTAAACTGAATCTTCTATACAATTCGAATTTTTGTAGAAAATATTCTTGTACACTATATGTAGCCTACACAGCTCGAAAAATCAGCAAACTCTTATTTTATACTCATCCTGAGTCAACTATATAAATCATTCTATCATTAATAAAAATATTTGTTTTTAATCACTTCTTTCGAACTCGATACAATCGAGTTAGTCAAAAACAAGATCACATCCAAAGAAGACTTGTACAATAAATTAGGAGCCCTTATTTGACAAGGCAATTGGCAATACATCTATAACTTGTTTGTTAAGTGGGTTTCATAGCAGATAAAGAAAGCAGATAACGAAAGACATTGTTAACATGAGTTGTCAATCCTATTTAATATTGCAAACAACCATAAAAGCATACTTAGTACGCATATGGAACTCGACAAAGCTGTACAATTTTTTCAATTCACGACCAATATTGTTTGTCTAATATAGCACACCATATATCAATGATATAATACATATGTTTTTCAAGTTTCTTCACTCATTTGGGTCGAAGAATTCCGTCCTCCCAGAATATTTTTCGTGGAACGATGCAATTTCAAAAACATTTTCGGAAAAATAGAGAATATTACAGAGACAGGAAAGGCAAAATATCACATATTTTCATTCTGTTCATTCACAAAGCTCTGCGGAAAGAATTTATGAAAGAAAAAAAATGTGTAAACTTAAAAAGATATATAATGGCCCGAAAAAATCACATAGGAGACAAAAAGATATGTAACGACCCAAAAATATCACCTAGGAGACCCCAAGTGATGCGAGATATATACAATCTGATTCCAAAATTGTATCAAACATCATTTTTAAAGAAGAAAAAACAGAAAAACCAGATCAATGGTAACCATATGCCAGCTGAAACCGAATTGAAACACAACGAATTCCAATCCAAACAGACGCCCACAGATATATATTATCAATTCTGTTGACATAGATAACAACAAACTTAAGTTCTTTGTCTTCCATGTATAACAAAAAGAAAAGATTCAACAAGTTTCACTGGTTTGGGGAAGTCATTCCATTAACCAGGACTTCCTTATTTTTACCTCTAAGCAGATAAAAAAACAAGGGACACGATGATCACACCATGTATCTGCAAAATCCAAGCATTCTTCTTCCATAATACATCACTAAGAGCTGACTCTGATCATTGTTACTCCCAGCACAACCTGGAATTTATGCATTACGTACATTCGCATTATCAAACAAAGAAAAATTTAGACATGGGGAGGGCGAAAAAAAGTTTTAAAGAAGTAAAATATGGCCATAAAGGTGGAGAGAGCTGAAAAACCATTGGAAAGAGGAAATCTTGAGTGACTCCAGAAATTCTCTCTTTATAATCCTCCTCCATGACCTATTGAGGAATGTGAAATTAAGCAGGAGTCAAATTAAATAAGAATCTCTGCAATTATAGCCAGTTTTATAAATCAGCCAAAAGTTAGCTTCTAAATTTTAAGAATCTTTGTTTTCTTGAACATCCATTTTTAAGACTTCGCAGGCAGTTATCTTATTTGTAACATATGAAACTCGAGTGTATCTCTCAAATCCATACTGAAGTACTAAGCATCATTTGGCATATATAATATTGAACTATATAATTAAGAAAAAATCTTAAACTTACATGGGAGGAGGCTTTCAACAAATGGAAATGCGACAGGGGAACAATTGTCAAATTCATCATCTAGATAGTGTACAACCCAAGTATAGTCTTGTAAATTTAAGATGCAGTAGCAATGGGATCCATCCATGAGCCTAATTATAAAAAATACCTCCTCCTTTATTGCAGCTACAGAGTTAAAATAGTGAATTTCCAATTCCAGTTCAATTTCAAGAGTGCCTCTTAAGTTCCAAACAGACCGTTCAGGATTTATTAAATCCCATATCTCCATAGAAGGTCCGATATCATCGATTGCCTCTGGATTATAAACTGGATAATCCACTCGCAGCAGTGACAAACAACCTTTTAGTTCGAACAGAAATGTCCATTGATGCATTGCAGAGGGAAACTCAATTCTCAAAAAATTCTCATTCATGTCAACAGAGAGGATGTGATCAGGAATTCCAAATTCCACTTCTGAACTCACCATCCAATACATTCTACCACCCACACATACATAGGAAGGGTAGTATGGGCAACTGGGATTAGGCTTAGGACCTTTTTTGACCTCAGAAATAGCTGTCCATGTTGCAGTATCAGAGGAATATACTTCACATTTGTACTCCCCATATTCTAGTTCATGTGAATTGCGGAAAAACCGAAATAGTTTGTATTTGTTATTTTCAGGGTCAAAGACAAGCCCAACTGATGGAGTATCTATTGATGGACTCCCTTTTGGAAGCAATATGATTTCTTGAGTTGTAGGATTAAAAATTTGTATGCCCATATCTTCCCGTTCATCTTGGTTGACACAACATATTAGACCATTCAAGAAACAGATTATGTCAGGAGAAAATATATTAACAAAACCAGGGGTGGGAATCTCACGATCTATTGTTCCATCCCCCTCCATCAAATACAGATGAGTAACTATATCTGAGGAATCAGAGTAAGGACAAATAATATATTTAGGGTTCTTCCTGGAGAAGCTTAGTTGCAATTCAGGAAAGTGTGGTTCAGAAATCAACCCCAACCAAAGTTTTGAAACAGATTTGCACACTAGTGCGGCTTTAACAGGAAGTCTTGGGAGAATGTTCGCCAAGATTTCCTCAATGTGTCCAATTTCAGACACATTATTGCATCGCAAGAGGCCACAATCATTTCTCGTCTCAGACATATTATAGCAGTATGTAACTTCTGGTATCAGGAAAGCAGAGCGTTCACGTCAATTGATTCATCTGCACTAAAAAGTCATCAGTTAAGTTTTGAGGAACACGAAAAAAATTCTATTAAACAGCAATCAGGAATCTCTCCACAAAAGTGTATTATGTTTTTTCTTTTATTGTCTTTTGTACTCTCTTTCTCCCAGAGCACACAGCTATCCAAACTCAAGATCCACGAATTGTGAAATCTACCAATCAATTCCAATTTACTATTTGTATAGGATACCAAATTTTCAATTCAAACGGTAAGAAAAGGGAAGGGAAAAGGTATACAGCAAAATCACCATGTTCAAATTAGTTCAACCACTTGCTTTGAGAAAAAATAATATCGCAACTAAATATAAAACTCACATATACCAAACAGACACTAAAGCCTTTTGAGCTAAAATAGTAACGTTTTCATGCTCAACCAAACTTTTCTTCATAAGTTTAACTGAGGTTGAGCTCAGATTATAGATGAGTGCCTTTTGTACTCAGTTTCTTTAGCCTAACCTGGTCGTCCTCGCACAATATTATCCATATTTACTGTTGCAATGAGTGGGTATACAGAGGTGGTCTATTGCACATCGAGGACAGAGTGAAAGACCAGAGCACATAAAGGGCATTTGTTTACATCATTTTACTTTCCTCTTCCATTGAAAAACAAGAACAAATTGAAAAATAATAATTTATTTTTTTCTCTTCTTCAATTAAAACCCCACTTCCACCCCCATCCCCATCCCCGATAGAACTCTCATTACACGAAACTCCATCAATTAAGGGTATAATAGTACTTCAACTATAGCTCACTTCAGCTTAGTTTGTGCAAAACAAAATTGAGCCAAAAACCAAATTGAAGTATTTATAAATTGAGACATGGAAAAGAACCCACATTCCACAAAACATATAATCAATAACAACAACTAGCAATCCAAGGCAGGGCTGGACCGGGCTACAGCCCATGCCAGATCCACCAATTTTGAAATATTCAAGATCCAGAAGCAGAACAACAGCACACATGAAACTACATTTATTCACAAAGAGGAAGGAAAAATTGATATCAATCATTAAAAAACTTGGATATAAATAGATGCTAAATAACCATAAACTCGCACATGCCACTCAAATATAAAATTCAATAATTAAGGCTGCCGAGAAAATACTAAATTCAAGTGCAAAATCGGAAAAAGCTGTAAATAGATTTACTTCGAAGATTTGGTTTGTTTGGCCAAAGTGAAGATGGATGCCGGACAATCAAATGGAGTGATTACTTAAGTGCAAGGAGAATTATAAGAGGAGAAAGAGAGACGAGGAGCAGATATGGAGAAAGAGATGAGCCGACAGGGAGAAAGAGATGAGACACCCTCTTTATACCATCTTTAAATAGGTCAAAACTAGGGTTTACTATGCCCAAATTAAATTTAGGACCTATTTGGCATGACTTTTACTTTTGGTTTTGCTTCTTGTAGAAGAGCTTTTGAAAAAAGTTACATTAATTTTTATTTGGAAACTAATTTTTAAAAGAGTTTCTTATTTTGAAAGTACTTTTAGAGGAAGTCACATTGAACTAACTTCCTCTAAAAGCTCATCTAGTTAGAAGAAGCACTTTAATAAATTAACCAAACGGATCCAAAAGTGGCTTCTGAATCTTAAAAGCTTCTTTTGGCTTTTCAAAAATCATGCCAAACAGACCCTTAATTTGTTTACACCTCAAATAGACTTGCGGATGATTTTTCAAGCTCATTAGAAACCTGAGAAAACCACCATCTTTGAAAGGAACAACCTCATCATTGAGCATCTTATCAATGTTAATGAGATTATATTCAATCAGATTATATTCCGATTGTAGTTACCAATTTAGGACGATTACATACCATTATTGTACAATACCGATTGCATACCATTATTGTACAATACCATATTAGGTAAATTACATAATATATATGTGCATATTTCAATTTCTATATTATGACAGAACCCGAGAAGGGAAGGGCATTCAGCCTAAAAATCTTACGTGGTATCGGAGCCTACCCATAAAATTCATAGTTGAATCTTTGATTTTCTGCCTTCGTTGTAGTCGGCGCTTGAATTTCTGGCTTGGGGTATTCAATTTTTTTTTGGTTGTTTCTCGGATTGGGTTTTTTTGATCGACCGATGGTGGTCGATGTCTTTGTTTGTGTAAACCGCCGTCTTCGACTAGGCGGTGGGGGTGTTCGATTGTGGCGTGTGCAGGCAATACCCTCCCGATTACTGCTGTTGGTTATATTTGGTCTTCTTTTGATAATGTTTTTGTATCTCCGGGGTTATTTCCTAACTTGATTTTGGTTGGCCAATTTGTTGATAATAACTGTGATGTACATTTCTCTTGTATTGGTTGTCTGGTGCAGGATCAGGGGTCAGGGAAGGAGATCGTGAAGGGGCCTAAAGTCGGAAGACTATTTCCATTACAATTTAATATTCCTACTGCTTTGTCTTTAGCATGTATCGATGTTGGCCTTAAGCATGAAATTTGGCATAAAAGACTAGGGAATCCAAATACTTTAATTTTGTCTCATTTGTTGAAGTGTGGTTTTTTGGGTAATAAAGATCAGTCTCATTTTTCACGTTTATCTTTCAATTGTGATGCTTGTAAACTTGAGAAAAGTAAGATTCTTCCATTTCCAACTCATATCAGCCGTGCTAATAAATGCTTTGAGACGATTCATAGTGACGTTTGGGGAGTGGCACCCCGTCACTTCACATGCCCATTATAAATATTTTGTGACGTTTATTGATGATTTCAGTCGTTATACTTGGATATACTTTCTCCGTTCGAAAAGTGAAATCGGTACTACGCTTCAAACTTTTATCGCTTACTTTGAGAAACAATTTTCTTCCAGTATTTGAATTCTGAGGTCCGACAACGTTGGTGAATATGTCTCATCAATGCCAGACATTTTTACAACAGAATGGTATTCTTTCTCAACGCTCTTGCCCATATACTCCTCAGCAGAACGAAGTGGCAGAACGAAAGAATTGTCACTTGTTTGATGTTGTCAGGGTTTTACTCCTGGAATCTTCAGTTCTACCCAAATTTTGGGTTGAAGCCCTATCTACAACTGAACATCTGATTAATCGACTTCCTGCTTAGCATTTCAATTTTGATTCACTTATTTTCATCTGCATCGCACACATCCTAGCTATGACATGTTGCATACTTTTGGTTGTGTATGTTTTGTTCATTTACCTTCACATGAACGTCATAAGCTTGCTGCTCAATCCGTACGGTGTACTTTCATGGGTTACAGTATTGCTAAGAAATGTTTTGTTTGTTATGATGGTGTTGCTAATCGCTTCCGTATCTCTCGCAATGTGGTTTTCTTTGAGAATCGATATTACTTTGAACAACATCTGCCATCTTCTGATTTAGATTGACTAATTAGCTTTGAGGATTCTTCTCATCCTATTGAGCGTTTTAAACCTGGTGTGATATATCATAGAAGACGACCTCCAGCTTCACTGCCCCTTCCAGATCCCGATCCTATCCCAGACTCTGATACTCTTCGACGATCCACCCTCATTACTCGCCCTCCTGTTCGGTATGGTTTCTCTGCAACCTTATCTCATATCACAGTTTCTACTTCTTATTCTCAGGCTGTTACCCAACCTTGTTGGAACAAGGCTATGCAGGAGAAACTTCAAGCTCTACAAAAAAATCACACGGGATATTGTTCCTTGTCCTTCTGGAATCAAGCCTATTGGGTGTAAATGGGTGTACTTCGTTAAGTTCCGCTATGATGGTTCACTTGACCACTATAAAGCTCGATTGGTGGCTCTTGGTAATCGTCCAGAATATAGAGTAGATTATAAGGAGACTTTTGCACGTGTTGCCAAAATGACAATCGTTCACATCGTTCTTGCTATAGCTGCCTCTAAGGGATGGTCTTTACGGCAAATGAATGTTAAGAATGCTTTCTTACATGGTGATATTAAAGAAGAGATTTATATGACGCCACATGCAGGTCTCTTCTCTTTGCCCTCTTCCGATGTGTGTAAGCTAAAACACTCACTTTACGGGTTGAAACAAGCCCCCCGCACTTGATTTGACAAGTTTCGTTCCACTCTTCTTGGTTTCTCATTTACTCAGAGTCAATTTGATTCATCTCTCTTTATTTCCAACACCGAGGCGGCTTTGGTGCTTTTTTTTGTCTACGTTGATGATATAGTTATTACAGGGATTGACTCTAGATTGATATCTCATCTTCAAGATCGACTTAAGGAATCTTTTAATATGAAGGATCTGGGCGTTTACAGTATTTCTTAGGTCTTAAGTGCATTCGAGTTCAGCCGGGACTTTTCTACATCAACATAAGTATACAAATGAGTTGATTGGCTTAGCTGGACTTCAGGATGACAGATATGTTGATACTCCTCTGGAGGTGAATGTGAAATATCGCAAGGAGGAGGGTGATCTTCTTTCTTATCCCTCTTTATATCGTCAATTGGTAGGTAGTTTAAATTACCTCACTATTACACGACTAGATATCTCATTTGCTGTCCAACAAGTTTGCCAGTTTATGCACGCCCCAAGACACCTCCACTTAGCCGCAGTACGTCGCATTATTCGATACTTACTGGGTACACCTAATAGGGGTCTTTTCTTTCATGCCAATTCTACTCTTGAACTGGTTGGTTATAGTGATGCTGATTGAGCCGGATGTGTAGATACTCGTCGCTCAATTACCGGATTGTGTATGTTTCTTGGGAGTGTACTCATTTCATGGCGAAGTAAGAAGCAAGATTGTGTATCTAAATCTTCCACTGAGTCTGAAGATCGTGCTATGTCTTCTGCCTGCTCTGAGATTGTTTAGCTTCGAGGTCTTCTCGCGGAGCTTAGTTGTCCTCGGCTTAGGCCTACTCCTCTTTATGCTAACAATACTAGTGACATTCAGATTGCTGCTAACCCCGTGTTTCATGAACGCACTAAGCATATTGA